GAGAGAGAATCTGAGAGATTAATATGGTATCTGTCTTTTATGTGCAGGACAAACAAAGATACCGTGGTTTATCATGACAAGTGAATTCACTCATACGGCGACGGTATCCTATTTCCAGCGTCATGGATATTTTGGTCTGGATCCCAGCCAGGTCATCACTTTTTGCTTCATGCCCTTGTCCTCCCAAGCAATTCCAAGCAATTCTTCTATTTGGCTTTAGTGGAATGGCACACATTGTTAGAGATGATTGTATGGCTTTGAGTCATCACTCCCTATTAACACAAATGACATGGAGGTAATGGCTTTCTTATCGAGTGTTTTTCACTTTTTTTTTTTTTTGGCAGAAGTGAATACATCCTTGTCCCTTGCTCCAGATGATTTACCTTTTCTACTAGTGTTCTCGTCAAGCTAACAGATCTGGTAGAACATCCCGCTGAACCACACAGATGTCGGAAACCTTTTTAGTGTGCTCCAATAGCTTTCAGATTGGAACAGGGTTGTATTTTGCACTCTTTCAAAAGGCACTGGGCGCACACAAACAACACACACACACACACACACACACACACACACACACACACACACACACACACAGATTCCTCATTCCTCCTCCTTTCTCTTCTCCTCTTCTTCTTCTGCAAATGCTTGTAGTCCCCTTCTATAAGCGTGTGCTTGGAGGCATGGATGAGAATAGAGGATGTCCTTTTGCGGTTTACCACCATATCTGGCACATACCGGTATGTTGGCCATTGGGGTGAAAATAGAATCATGCTTCTTTTTCTGTTTCCCTTGATCCTTTCTGAATTGATGAAGGTGATGGGACTAAAGGACGGCGTTGGAATCGATGTTGTGCTGAAATGTCTTTTGACTCGTTTTCTTTTTTAGCTGTCAATGAGAGCAGTGGGGATGCTATGCATCATGTAGTAATTGCTCGCATTTCAGGGCTAGACTTCCGGTCCGACCGGGGGGTCCTCCTCCAACCGGAACCCCGCCGTCCGGACCGGCCGGACCGGCCGTTTGACCGGCCCGGTTTGCCCCTGGTCGACACCAGTGCATTTTTGCTGGGGGGAGTTTCTGTTGTTCTAACGCCGCGGGGGCTTAGGAAGAGGCTCTAGGAGGCCGGCAAACAGAAAAAAAAGATATTCAGATCCAGTAGGCCCGCCCACAACTACTCAAAAGGGCGGGTGATCTGGACCGTCGATCTCGAGAGATCAGCCATCCAAACTGGCCTTTGCAGATTTCCCCAGCGGCTCTGCCGGCCCAATCCACCACCCAGCACTGCCCGTCACTTTGCACAGCAGCCTTCGACACCTGGCACACCCTCGCCCTTCATCACCACGACGCACCTTTGACATTGCATACCATCGCCTCCAGCCTGCGTCCCTTCGCCGGTGCGCCTTCACGTCCAGCCTGCGCGCAGAAAGGTAAGCCATAACCATAGTTTTTCTTCTTCTTCTTCATCTTCTTCTTCCCGCAGAGAGAGAGAGAGGGAGGGAGGGAGGGAGGGAGAGAGAGAGAGAGAAAGAGTGCCTCCTACTCCTACTCCTTCCCCTGCTACAGCGCCGTCTCCTCCTCCTCCTCGTCTTATTATTATTATTATTATTATTATTATTATTATTATTATTATTATTATTATTATGATGATGATTACTATTATTCACCGCCTCCTTTTTCGTCGGCTTCTTGGAGAGAGAGAGAGAGAGAGTGGCAGACTGCGGCAACGGCCTGAAGGGAAGGGACACAGTGACACTCAAAGTCGGATGTGCAAACTCATAATCAAAATCCCAAGCTTTGAATAAACCTGCCATGGCCAGATGCAACAGAAAGCTCAAAAGTTACAGATTTGCCATAGCATGTTCAACCTCCAAAGACGAGATAAAATGATCCACTTCTTGCACGTACAACCTTCTCCCGCCATTATACCCATAGTATCCCCGAAAACCTCAACAATGCAGGTCCCTCTACTGGTTTCATCCGTCTGCAACTGACTTATCAGGAAGGTGCGTTGATACGCTTTAGTCGAAAGAGAGGCCCTGTGCCTTGCCTCTCTGAGCTTTATCGACGGACTGCCCGTAGGCTCTTCCTACCACTAACCTCGTGTCGGAGTTCCCCATAGCCCAATTGTCCTTGCCCCCATATGCCGTGAAAATAAATAAATAAATCAATAAATGAAAACACCGAATGCATGGATCATGAACAAATATTGGACACCCAGGAAGGAGGGAACAAGTATAAGACCAGGAAGAACAACCCCAACTGGAGACCCACCAAGCAAGCATTGGGCCAACCTGATTGGTTCATGGAGAGAGGCGTTCCCCCAAAGACGAAGGGGCCCATCGACCAAGGAAGAAGTGTTGCGCCAGCTCCTGTTTGGAAATGAAATGTTGACGGACGGAGAAGGAAAGCCATGGACCTTAAAGGGCGGAGACAAAAGGTGGAGAAGATGGGTAGAGAACGACATATGGAAAATAGAACATATATGGGACGACGAGAAAAAAAAATGGAGAACGATCAATGAACTGAGAATGATCTTGAGGGGGCATCACAGACTGCAGAAAAATTTAGAAGATCTAATTGACAGCGTACCCATAGCTTGGAGATCCCTGCTGAAAAAGAACAAAACATGGAAGAAGGGTGACTGGGCAACCTTGAAGATACAGGAAGCACCTTCGGTAGCCCTACTTCTCAAGAAACTATCGAAACAAGACCCAAATCTTGCCACATTTGAGGTATGTGAACTTGAGCACATAGGGAAATCTATCACACTAGTACGCGGAGAGAAACTTGAGGAACCAGAATTTAATACGAGTGACCTGAGAAAGGTCAGAGAGCTAAAAAATGAGCAGAGGAAAGGGAGAAAAAAGAAAGGAGAAAGAAAGGAGCCAACTTGGCTTTTTAGGCCAATCAAGGACATAACGGAATTAGAAGTTGACCCAGGGGAATGGGGATGGTATGAGAATAGGGGAAGAGGACGAGCCAAAAAATGGACTGCCCTACATGAATACACAGTAAAGAATGGCTACAGAATAAGAAGCAAACCAGCAGACCCGAATCAAACAATAGCAAAAAGATGGGGGAAACAACTAGAAATAGAGGCAAACTGGCTACAAAGCATACCTTGGACATACTACGCATCAATCAGACCACAAAGAGTGAGAAGTCTGCAATGACTAATAATGCACCTAGCAGTCCCAGTAAACGCATGGCTAGATGTAAGACGAAAAGAAACAGAAAGATCGACCACTTCCGCACACTGCAAAATGTGCACGGAAAACCAACCGGAAACCCTCACACACTGCTTAATAGAGTGCCCACACGCACAAACATTATGGAACAGGTGTTCATCAATGTGGACAAGTATAATAGGAACGGAGTTCCCAAAAGACAAATTCTTCCTACTAACAGCGATAAATAGAGAAGAAACAACCGAAGAGGAGAATGACCAGATACTAGAACTTTTCAGAAAAACTACAATATGGATCATCTGGAGAGCAAGATNAGCGATAAATAGAGAAGAAACAACCGAAGAGGAGAATGACCAGATACTAGAACTTTTCAGAAAAACTACAATATGGATCATCTGGAGAGCAAGATGCTTGGATACAATAGGGAAGAAGAGGATATCGTTAAACGAATCATGGGAGGAAGCTAGAGAATTGATGGAAGCAAAAATAAGAATAGAATGGAAGAAAACCTTGAACAGGATGAAAGAGGATATAGACAGCAAGAAAAACATAATCCAGAAGGAATTTCAGGAGAGATGGTCAAGGAACAGGCTAATCGCAAAAGTTACTGACAGGACATTACACTTCTCAAACTGGTGGAAACAGAATGATGAAAATCAAACAGCAGAAAATGAGCAGAGCATACCGATTGACCTAGAGGAGTAGAAAAAGAAAGAAGACAAAAGTTTCGGGGCCAAACTGTCTCAATACGATCAGGATAGCGAAAACGGGCAAAAACAGTACCCTCCTCGAAAACTGGGGCATAAAGGGTTCCTGGAAAGAGCACAAATAAAAAAGGGCTCGTTCCCTTCTGCCATAGAAAAAGGAAAAAACACTGACTATAAGGACACCCCTATCACCAGCCCCTCCCACTTCTGGGGCACAATGGTTTTGCCCGCTACGGAGCTGGACATATGCCACAACACCTTGGATGGATTCCAATCAATGGTACAGGCCGAGTTTCACTGCAGATGGAAGAAAACCAAGTAAACATGGTCAGAGGATGAGGAGCAGCAAAAGAGGGGGAGACAGAGTTATGACAACAATTGGTTGATAAACAGCAAGATTGCAGAAACACAAGAAGATCGAAGCGGACGGAAAGAGTGGCACAACTCATTATCAGAAGGGAGCTACCAACAACGGACAACTACGGGGGACTATTTACTCCTCGAAAAGCAGACGGACGAGTATAACACGGTAGGGGTCCAGGAGTAAAGGGATAAAGATAAAAAAGTTCAGAGACGGGCAGCAGAGCACCAAGAGTCAGGTGGGCGGCGGAGTCAGAGACAGACAGGGAAACACGTATGGGGACAGCCTAGCTAGGACATGAACTCAAGAGGGATTGGGGGCCCAGGGTATGACACCATCTCTGCGTCCAGAGCCAATGACTGGGGGTTCGGAAAGGAAGGACAAGATTGGAGGGCAGGTGGAACCGGAGGAGCGGCCTG